CTCAAGATGTTACAGAGCTATGTGACTGAACTGGGCTTCAACACAAGCAGCCTGTCTTCAGAACCCTCCCCTTTAATCATTGTCATGAGGAACCAGAACCACCTGTAACAGAGAATGGAGCCGCAAGAATAGCTATCTTCTGCCTCTTTCCTGGAGCCAAAAACTGATCTGGAGAACTTCATGCTCCTTCTAAGGCCATGTTATCTCAACCTTTTTTCCTGCTTTTATCCCTACTCTCTGCCCATTAAGTAGCCTTTTTAGATCTTTTCTGATCATTCATTCCCCATGAAATTTTAATACCACGTATATGCCTTATATCTGTTTACGTACGATGAAGGGCCACAAAACATTTTTATATTTAAGATTTCTTTTAACCTTCCTAAGAACCAACTTTCACCTTCTTGGCTGCAACATTGTTCCCCCTAAGAATGTGTGTTCTAGGCGGGCGTGGTGGCTCACACCTGTAATCCCAGCATTTTGGGAGGCCAAGCCGGGCGGATCACGAGGTCAGGAGATCGAGACCATCCTGGCTAACATGGTGAAACCCCGTCTCTACTAAAAATACAAAAAATTAGCTGGGCATGGTGGCGGGCACCTGTAGTCCCAACTACTCGGGAGGCTGAGGCAGGAGAATGGCATGAACTCGGGAGGCAGAGTTTGCAGTGAGCCGAGATCATGCCACTGCACTCCAGCCTATGCAACAGAGTGAGACTCTGTCTCAAAAAAAAAAAAAAAAAAAAAAAATGTGTGTTTTGAGGAAACCAATATTGAAGATTTCCATAAGACCTTTTATATTGCCATTGTTTATTCATATGTCACAAATATATGGTGTGAAACAAAAATCTCCCATATAGGCTCCCACAGAAAATATAGTAATGGAAGAATTTTGGTTCTTTCTCCCAGGCTTCTGAGGTTGTGTCTGAGGAGTGACCACTGGGGTGCTCATGAGGGGGTGGAGAGTGAGTAACACCAGAGTAACTGCCTCAGAGCTGGAGACTCCTGTTGTCCTTATTATACAGAGCCAGTTTCCAATTACGTGTGCTAATGAGGTCCAGCAGTAAGATGGGTAATTGAAATCCACAAAGAACTCCCAAACCTCATTTAGAAAGCTGTTTCAAGCGCCTCTTGAGCCTGTGAACCAGACTAGGCTAACTGTTCATCTTCTTCTTCAATCTGTAAGAACCAGACTGGGATGACTGTTGATCTTCCATTGTTTCCAGCCTCAAATGGAGAAGGAATAACGATTGGGCCTGTTCACCTTGCATGTTTTTACTCAGGGCATTCTGTGGACCAAGCACCGTGTTGACCCCATTCACAGAGGTATCTAGTATGTACCCACAGGCTGTGTATGTGGTAGGTATCGTCCTTCCTGTTTTGAAGATGTGAAATGGACTGATGCAAAGTGTTGCCAGTAGGAAGTAGCACAGTCAGGGTTCAAAATCCAGTGGTTCTAATTCCAAGTACATTCCTTCATGGTATCTTCAAAGCCTTATGAAAAAGCTGGAAAGACCTGGGAAATGTTCAGTTCAATTGGATCCAGTGCAATCGAATTGTTAATCAATTTAAATGTTCATCATTTGAGCTTTAAAGGTAGGCAAACTGGTTTTCTTACTTTCTAACCAGGTGTCCGTAAGAAAGTTCCTTAATGGCCCTTGCATGTTGTTCAAAATTCTAATTAGTAAAACTGTGTTGTCATGAAGATTAAATGACGTAATGTTATCAAGCACCTAGTATATCATCTGCATCAAAATATCCTGTTTGCTACTCCATCCATCAGTTTGGTCCTTGTATCATTTCTTTGGTTTTTCCCCTTGTGACCTTATTGTTTCCTGATATTTTAAAATATCTATCTGGCCTTCATAGTTGAATTGTAAGAACTTCAGGAATCGGAGCTGTTCTCATAAAGATGGTTCTCAAATTTCCAAATTTGTATCTTTTGTTTTTGTTTTTGAGATGGAGTCTCACTCTATTGCCCAGGCTGGAGTGTAGTGGCATAATACCGACTCACTGCAACCTCTGCCTCCTGGGTTCAAGCGATTCTCCTGCCTCAGCCTCCTGAGTAGCAGGGATTATAAGCACCCGCCACCACACCCAGCTAATTTTTGTAATTTTTGTAGAGACAGGGTTTCACCATGTTGGTCAGGCTGGTCTCGAACTCCTGACCTCATGATTCACCTGCCTCAGACTCCCAAAGTGCTGGGATTACAGGCGTGAGCCACTGTGCCCTGCTTCAACTTTGTATCTTTTTAATGTGTGAAATCTTATACATTGCACATTGACACTCACTAAACTAGTAACAATTTCCACATATCACCCAGTGAGCATGAATTTGAACTCTCAACTAGTGGTGCCTTCGGCCAGGATTCGTGGGTTCAATTAGGATGGCGTCATTATCTTTATGCAGCAATTTTTGCTTGTTCTATTATTTGAATAGCTAATTGCATTTGCCCTTCTAATGTGTGAAAAGCCATAACAAAAAATTGTGACATAATAAAAGATATCCCCTAAATGGCAGATCTACATCTCAAATAGATGATTATTGGACTTAAGCTGACATTTGTGTTCAACTGTGAAGGGTAAGAATAAAATTAAGGGTCATGCATGAAGCATTGGCAGTCTGTCTTCTCAGGGTCAGCCTAAGAGGAGAGGAGTAGTGGTGGGGACATGAAGAACACTTTAGATTTTTAATTGTGAATCTGCATAAAAATCATTGACAGAGAAGTTCAAGGGCTTAAAGAGACATCACCAAGGGTAAAGCTCATACAGATTTCTCAATTAAGTAGAGATTGGCAGAGTTCAATTTTTCTTTAACAACAATATTTTTAAAAACTAATACCGGGAGGCCGAGACGGGCGGATCACGAGGTCAGGAGATCGAGACCATCCTGGCTAACACGGTGAAACCCCGTCTCTACTAAAAATACAAAAAAACTAGCCGGGCGAGGTGGCGGGCGCCTGTAGTCCCAGCTACTCGGGAGGCTGAGGCAGGAGAATGGCGTAAACCCGGGAGGTGGAGCTTGCAGTGAGCTGAGATCCGGCCACTGCACTCCAGCCTGGGCGACAGAGCGAGACTCCGTCTCAAAAAAAAAAAAAAAAAAACAACTAATACCATGACATGAAATCATCACTATAAGTTTCTGCTCAATCTCTGCACAACAACATTAGCAAATTCTTCTTCCCACAGTAAAATGATTTGGTTGTTTTGTTTACTAAATGTCACTTTTACGGAGTAAGTTCTGCGAGGGCAGGAATATCTGTTTTGTTCAGAGATGTGGTCTAAGCACACGGATCAGCACCTGGCATGGAGTAATCGCTGAATAAGTATTTACTGAATGGAATTCAAGTAAACTGAAGTTTAAATAAGATATTACTTTGTAAAATTATCTGTTATACATCTGATGAGAGGTTAATATTCAAAATATGTAAGACACTCAACTCAATAGTAAGAAAACAATCTAATATAAAAATGGGTAAATGGTTTGAATAGATATTTCTCAAAATAAGACACATAAGTGGCCAAGAAGTATATAAAAAATGTTCAGGATCACTAATCAACAGAGAAATGCAAATTAAAACCATAGTGAGAGAGATCACCTCGCAGCTATCAGAATGGCTATTGCAAAGATGAAAGATAACATGTTGGCAAGGATGGGGAAAAAAGGAAACCCTTATACACTGCTTGTGGGAATGTAAATTAGAACACTCATTATGAAAAAACAGTATGGAGGTTCTTCAAAAAATTGAAAATAGACCCCATGATATGATCCAGCAATCTCACTACTGAGTATATATCTAAAGGAAATGAAATCAGTATGTGCAATAGAAGAGACAGCTGCACTTCCACACTCATTGAAGCACTATTCACAACAGTTAAGATTTGGAATCAACCCAAGTGTCCAGCAATGAATGAATGAATAAAGAAAGTGTGGTATATGTACACAATGGAATATTATTTAGTCTTTAAAAGGAAGGAAATTGTGTCATTTGTGGCAACATGAATGAGCCTGAAAGACGTTCTGTTCAGTGAAATAAGCCAGGCACAGAAAGACACATACTACATGATCTCACATATGGAGTCTAAAGAAGTTGAACGCAGAGAGGTGGAGAGTAGAATGGTGGTTACCAGGGGCTGGAGAGGGTAGGGGGCTTAGGAAAATGTTGATCAAAAGATACAAAATTTCTGTTAAATAAGTTCAAATTAGTTAAAATAAGTTCAACAGCTCTATTTTACAACATGGTGACTATACCTAATTAAAAATTTACAAAATTATTTGCTGCCAGGCACGGTGTCTCATGCCTGTAAACCCAGGACTTTGGGAGGCTGAGGCGGGCAGATCACAAGATCAGGAGCTCGAGACCAGCCTGGCTAACATAGTGAAACTCCATCTCTACTAAAAGTACAAAAAATTAGCCGGGTGTGGTGGCAGGTGTCTGTAATCCCAGCAGCTACTCAGGAGGCTGAGGCAGGAGAATCACTTGAACCCAGGAGATGGAGGTTGCCGTGAGCCGAGATAGTGCCACTGCACTCCAGCCTGGGTGACAGAGCAAGACTCCGTCTCAAAAAAAAAAAAAAAAAAAAAATTGCTATATTCAATTTTTTTCTATGTTTAATAATTATGTGATCCTTCTATAACCTAGGGGTTTAAGAAAATCTTAAATAGATAATATGATTAGGATTTTATTATTTAGCTCTCACGGTTTCAGAAAAGTTGAGTACCAAGTTAGACTCTGTCATGCATTAGGCATATAACCTTGATCAAGTTACTAAACCTCCCAGAGCCTGATTTAAGATAGATAAATAGTAACATATTTATGTTACAAACCATATATTTATCTTTGTATCTGTACTGCAGAATTAGGATAGTTTATAAGAATACCTACAATAAACTAAAGTAAATAAATTGCTTATAGAAATATATAAATACATATAGTTCCAAGAAAAATACAGGTTGAGTGGGAAAACAAGACTAAGTAAAAGGCCTCCATTTTTTTTTTTTTCAGTTCTTAAGACACAACCTTACAGATTGATGTGAGAATCAAATGATTTAATAGGATGCTGTTTGATAAAGAGTTCATTGACCATGATGGACAGAGAGGCTGTATAAAGAGAAAAAAGCCAGTCACACCTCACATTTCAGCCACTCCCACTGGAGCTCCAGACATGTGAATGAAGCCACCTCAGACTCTCCAGCACAGGTGAGTCACCCTATCCAGCACCACATAGCATGGGATAAGCTGCCACCACCATGCCCTGCCCAAATTGGAGAATTATGGGCAAAAATATGGCTGTTTTAAATCACTACCTTTTGGTTTAACTTTTTATACAGTAATAGATAAATCAAACAGTTTAGTTTCATTTGTTGGTCTCAATAGCAGCAACTTTCATCTCCTGTCTGGAGCAACTCCCTCTTTATTTCACCAATTATCAATCTACTATCTGTTCTTTTGCATCCATGGATTTTGAAGGAAGGTCAGTGGTATTGTGTGGAAAAGACCTTGGCCTTTGACTGATACCTCCAAGAAAATTATCATGTGTGAATACTAAATAAAAATAATATTTAAAGCTTCAAATTGTTTGGCAATACAAAAATCTGAGCCATCTATTGACCAAATATCAGAAACTGAATGTCACAGTGACTTGTTTGTATTAGGCTAGAAGGAAGAAAAATGATATTAGTCATTCTCAGTGAGCCACAGTGAGAGAATGGAATGTGCACATGAAATGCAACCTTGCTTCCCATAGAAACTGATTTAAAAGATTAACACACACACAAAAACACCTTTTGTATTCCCAATTTTAATATATTTGTACAATAAATATACTAATATCAAGGAAAAGAAAGTAAGCCACAAGTTTTTCACCAAAATGTAACTACAGTCATGTATTGCTTAATGATGGGGATACATTCTGAGAAATGCATCCTTAGGCAATTTTGCTGTTATGCAAACATCATAGAAGGTACTTACACAAAACTGGATCGTATAGCCTGCTAACACCTCGGGTGTTAGGTATAGTCTATTGCTCCTAATTTGTAGGTTACAAACCAGTACAGCATGTTAGTGTATTGAATACTGTAGGCAATTGTAGCACAATGGTAAATGTTTGTGTATCTAAACATAGGAAAATTGTAAAATAGGAAAATACAGTAAAAATAAAATATCATATAGCACACCTATATAAGGCATTTATTATGAATGAAACTTACAGGGCTGGAAGTTGCCCTGGGTAAGTTGGTGAGTGAGTAGTGAACAAATGTGAAAGTCTAAGACATTTCTGTACGGTATTGTATACTTTACAAACACTACACTTAGACTACACTAAATTTATTTTAAAATATTTTTCTTTCACTAATAATAAATTAACCATAGCGCACTGTAACTTATCTACTTTATAAACTCAATTTTTTTAAACATGGTGACTCTTCTGTAATAACACATCTTAAAACATACATTTTGCAGTCGTTCAAAAATATTTTATTTTTTATGTCTTTATTCTATAAGCTTTTTTCTACTTTTATCATTTTTTTAAACTTTTTTACATTTTAGTTAAAAACTAAGCACAAACACTCACTTTACCTAGGCCTACATAGGGTCAGGATCATCAATATCAGTATCTTCCACTACTGCATCCTGTCCCACTAAAAGGTCTTCAGGGTCAGTAATACACATGGAGCTGCCATCTCCTATGATAATAGTGCCTTCTTTTGGAGTACCTCCTAAAGGCCTGCCTGAGACCATCTTACAGTTAACTTTTTATTTTTATAAATAGAAGGAGTACACTCTAATATAATGATAAAATATAGTACAGTAAATATGTAAACCAGTAAGTTTATCATCATCAAACTATTATGTACCACACATCATTGTATGTGCTGCACATAATCGTATGTGCTATACAACTGGCAGCACAATAGGTTAATTTACAACCAGCATCACCACACACATGGGAGTAACGTGTTTTGCTCCAACGTTATGATAGCTACAATGTCACTAGGCGAATAGGAATTTTTTAGCTCCATTTTAATCTTATGGAACCACCATCCTATAGGCAGTCTGTCCTTGGCCACAATGACGTTGTGTGGTGCAAGACTGTATTTTTATCTTGCCAAGTTCCTTTTCGATCCCTTTCCAAGTGCATTAGCTGTGAATCCTTATTTTTAGCTGATTAATTATCTAACTTCTCTTTCACAGGCAAAAGAACCAATATGAACCCAAAGCAATGAGAAAGGAAGGCAGGAAAGGGGAAGTAAGGGAGAGTTACTTGTTGCCCTGGAGGCTTGGAGAAAAGGTGCTTAATGGTCAATTTATTTTTCTCCATTTATTCAGTCAATAAACGTTACTACAAAAATTTTAAGTACTTTTCATTTCTTAAAATTCTTCAGCTGTGTAATTACTTGTTCATTGATCTTCTGCCCACTTAGACTGTAAGCTATGCGTGAGGCCAGAGTCCAGATCTGTTTTTTCTGGGTTTTCTGTTTGGTTGGTTGGTTGGTTGGTTGCAGTGTTGCAGTGCGCCAAGATCGTGCCCAGGCTGGAGTGCAGTGGTGCAGTCTCGGTTCACTGCAACCTCCACCTCCCGGGTTCAAGCAATTCCTGTGCTTCGCCTCCCAAGTAGCTGGGATTACAGGCATGCATCAACACACCCAGCTAATTTTTATATTTTTAGTAGAGATGGGTTTCACTATGTTGGCCAGGCTCGTCTCGAACTCCTGACCTCAGGTGATCCACCCACCTCAGCCTCCCAAAGTGCTGGGATTACAGGCGTGAACCACCATGCCTGGCCTCAGATCTAGTTTTTCTTAATCACTACTGTATATCTAGCATCTAACCTAATGCCTAGCACAATGCCTTAAGAGGCATTTAGTAAATATTTGTTGGTTTGAAGTACGGGAATTGCAAGTCTAGAGGACATATTTACCAAACCAGGAATGGAAAGGAAGAAGTAAGGAGAAAATAGTTGTTAAATAGTGGGTGAGAGTCTATATATTAAAAGGAGAGCATGCATGCTCTAATGTACTTTATAACAAATGTGGTCTATTTGATTAATGCTGCCAGCTCAAATTTGGGTCTTCTGGAAAAAAAAAAAAAAAATGATGAAACCATCTCCGGAGACATTTTGTATTCAACTCATTTAATATTTATATTGAGTTTCTTAACTCAGCATCCTCAAGGAGACCAAAAATGATAGTTGGAATATGGAGAGTAATGCTCAGGAGGATGGGGTAAGAGCACTCCCCACTCACCCAGTCCCAGATAAATCAACATAGCCTGAGTTAAATTTAGGTACTCCTCTAAAAGGTGGAGGGACTACTCCAGAATAGTCCAAAAGGAAATAACATCCTTTCTCATCTCTTTCTCCACAAGACTCTAGCAGAGCTTTAAAAAGTAGGTTTCTTATACAAGAAATAAAAACTATATGAGTTAGAATAGAGATCAAAAAGAGGCCCCAAAATTCAATGATTTAGTAAGATAGAATTTCACTGTGCTTTCTCATAACAGTCCATAGGTGGGCAGACCAGGCTGGTAGATAGCCCTGCTCAACAAAATAATTAATAGACCTAGATTTCTTCCATTTTGTTGTTCCATTATACCCTATTAAGGCAGTATTTCTCAAATGTTAACATGGAGTTAAACCACTGGTGGATCATGCTAAAATGCAGATTCTCATTCAGCAGGCCTGGAGTGGGGCCTGAGATTCTGTATTTCTTTCTTTCTTTCTTTCTTTCTTTTTTTTTTTTTTTTTTTTTTTTTTTTTGAGACGGAGTCTCGCTCTGTCCCTCAGGCTGGAGTGCAGTGGCGCAATCTCCACTCACTGCAAGCTCCGCCCCTCGGGTTCACGCTGTTCTCCTGCCTCAGCCTCCCGAGTAGCTGGGACTACAGGCGCCCGCCACCTCGCCCGGCTAATTTTTTGTATTTTTAGTAGAGACGGGGTTTCACCGTGTTAGCCAGGATGGTCTTGATCTCCTGACCTCGTGATCCACCCGCCTTGGCCTCCCAGTGTGCTGAGATTACAGGCGTGAGCCACCACGCCCGGCCCGAGATTCTGTATTTCTAAAAAGCTCCCAGGTGATGCTGATACTGTTAGTCCAAGCCTACACTCTAAGTAGCAAGGCGTCAGGGCATTGTCATCATCTTCGTGGTCAAAGCTGGGTGACTGGCACATCTGTTCTCCAGTTTTAAGTAAGGGGTTAGAAAACAAGTCTAGGGCAAGAAGTTGTCACTAAGTAAACAATGTAGAAATAATATACACATCTTCTTTTCATATTCAATAGTCAAGGACTTAATAAGATGGCCACACCTGGCTTCAAAGGGACTGATGAATGTCTTTAGTCTGTAGCTGGGCAGCTATATTACCATATAGAGGGGAATTGACATTACCATAGACAAGGAGAAATTGATATATTGGGAAACAGTCAGCAGTCTGCATCATGAAAAATAAGGAACCAGGAGCTTATAATTAAGCAATAGAAATGAAATGTAACAACAAGAAGTAGATGTATGGGCCAGATATTGCACTGAAACCTATGAAAACAGCTTTAGCAAAAAGCTATTGGATCAGAAGTCAAGAATCACTGATAGCATTCCATTTTTAATTTTCCATCTCTGGCACGCTTTGCTTGCACATTCTCTGTGACTTGTTCGTAAGAGTTGCCGATGATAGGAGAGGTAACAGCAAATGGCTCTGAGACTATTTTAGTGACACTGAATGGACTCTGACATGTGCTTATGGTTAGGAAAAACAAATATAAACAAAAATCAAGAACATAGCTAAGATTTCGTTAAAGATATTAGGTTAAATACTAAAATAATCCAAGCATGAATTAGGAGCTTCTGGATATATTAATATATAACATGAATTTATATATCCCTATGGCCAACAGTTTACCCAGGACACATTTCAAAATTTATCTGCTTCTAACAGCATCAGAAACAAAATTTATTGCTCAGCCCCTTGGATATGACACATTTTCTTAGGATATTCAGTTGGATAATAAATTTTAGAAGCCTCCAGCAAAGAAAATTTCATAACTTTTTCTGTCATCCCCACATCATTTCAACATGTAAGTATCCTCTGCCTTACACAAGATCTCTTTTGCATCTAATCTCGTTAGAGTGACCATCTGAAACACTTCTGAGCCGGAAAGGGGCATTGTTAACAATTATGCTGGGTATAAATCCAGCATATAAATCCAGTTGTGTAACCTATGACTGTCCTGGATAGCCCAGGATATGTAACTCTAAGGCTAGGTTGTACCTATCATATTTTCTTTTTATCTTTTTTCCTCAATTCTTAGGTAGAAGTAGCGGACATCAATATATTGGTGAGTAAGGTTCTTTAAGATTGCAATGAATAGTCAGGTGCAGAGGCCCACCTCTGTAATATCAGCACTTTTCATTTCTTAAATTCCTCAAATGAGGTTGGAGGATCCCTTGAGCCTAGGAGTTCAAGACCAGCCTGGGCAACACAGTGAGACCTTGTCACTCCAAAAATAAAAATAAATAGTCAAATATGGTGGTGCTTGCCTGTGGTCCCAGCCACTAGAGAGGCTGAGGTGGGAGGATCACTGGAGCCCAGGAGGTCGAGGCTACAGTGAGCTGTGATCACACCACTATGTTCTAGTCCGGGCAACTAAGCAAGACCTTCTCTCAAAAACAAACAAACAAAAAGATTGCAAATGAATAGTCAATAGCAGATTACCTTGGCAATGAGAGTTTGTTGCAAATAATTTAGGTAATGAAAGTAAGGTGAGGTTATGACTGGAGAGTTGTACCATCAGTTTTCGTTTGTTTGTTTGTTTGTTTGTTTTGAGACAGAGTTTTGCTCCATCACCCAGGTTGGAGTGCAGTGGCACGATCTCGGCTCATTGCAACCTCCACCTCTTGGGTTCAAGCAGTTCTCCTGTCTCAGCCTACCAAGTAGCTGGGACTACAGGCACCTGCCACCACGCCCAACTAATTTTTGTATTTTTAGTAGAGATGGGGCTTCCCCATATTGATCAGGCTGGTCCCGAACTCCTGACCTCAGGTGATTCACCCGCCTCAGCCTCTCAAAGTGCCGGGATTACAGGCGTGAGCCACCGCACCCGGCCGTGACATTAGTTATTTTTGACCCTAATCCTGTACTTTAAAGAATAGGATGTAGGATAGGGTTAAAATTCAGCATAATTCAGGATACAGCCTTCACCGTCTCCTCCTCTCTGTGTGCCTCTGTTGGGCAGAGATGTTGCCATGTCTTCTCAAGGTACTTGGCCTCCCTCACATCAAGTTTGTCTTCTTCGATCAATAATGTCCAGGGAACAAGGATGGGTTGACTCATTGAAGATGCTGTAAACTTTTTATAGAAAAAAATACTTGAGGATCATTTACTCTGACTATAGCATGTCATTAAAGCTGCTAATGGTATATGACTATAGCATGCACATAGAACTCATGGACATTTCTCTAGTAAAACAAACTCGGGACATTGTATATTTATAAACAACCATAGGAACAAGCTGACTATCAGTCATAATTAGAATATGCTGAGAATTTATTATGGTTTCCTACTAGGACATCCCTTGTTTGTTTAAATCACAGAGAAATAGTGCCACTAAAAAGTATGAAAGAGTAGACATCATTGAACTGGAGAATTAAAGAAAGACTAATTAAAACACCATAGTTGAGGAAAATAGTATAAGCCTGGTTTCCCCTTGCAAGTCCAAATTCCAACTTTCACTGCTAAACAAAAGCCCAACTTACGAAAAGTAGTATAAATAAGATAGAAGTGTATATCTCTTTCATATGACAGTCTAACAATAGGGGATAGTATAGCAAGACAGCTTCATAGAGTTAAAAGCCCAAATTCCTTCTATTTCTGCATTCTGGGTGGTGTTGTCCTCTACTACATGATTGAAGGTAGATTCCCAACCCATCTCCTTAGTCAGCATTTCACCAAGCCGAAAGGGGGAAGGGCTCAAGGGAGAGGCATGCTTTTTGCTTCTTGTTCTGCTCATATCCCATTAACTACCAGAAAGGCTGAGGAATATCTTTGGTAGCCAGGAGTTCTAGTAGGGTCTGGCATATCATAGTAAAAGACAAAAAAGAATGTATACTAGGAGATTACTAGCAATCCTGCCATATAATAGAAATAATAACTTAATCTATCAATGAACGACTAAGGGGAACCCATAAGCGTTATTTAGTAACCTTATATCATAGGAAAGTAAGGCTCACAAAGCTGAAATGATTTACCTAAGGTCACATAGCAAGTAATCAAGGGAACCTGGACACAAATCCATGTCAGTTGACTGCAAATGGTAGGTCGTTTCTACCACTCTGTGATGTCTTTCAAACCACTTTTCATATAAATTTATA